GATGGACAGTCAGGGAAAGCAGCCCAGGGGAGGGAACTCTTCAACATGGGTCTGGATGAAGAAGCAGAGTTTTCTAGGCAGAGGCATTTGGGTAGGGCGTTCAGGCAGAGGGAACAGCAGATCCAGTTGGGAAAGGCGTGGCAGCATTTGAAGGGGATGGATGAGGCTGAAGCAGGGATCAGAGCCAGATTATAACAGGTCTTGAATGCCCAGATAAGACATTCCCAGACACTCAAACCTATTTCAACTAGAGCACGTATCACCTTGCACTGGAGCAGTGGACTGAAAACTGTCCTGCTAAGCTCGGGCTGTCAACCTAGCACCTCTGCCAAGGCATCATAAGACATCTGCATGTTATATACTCAATGGATGGAGAAGACCCATCCCTGCAAAATAGCCCTTCCCTCCTCTCTACCCTCTCTGTATCATTGTGGAGCTTGCTTTCTTCACTGGACTATGTGTGTGCCCTGGGAAGGGCAACAGTTATGTCCACTTCATCCTTAGACAGAAGTTGTATCTTAGAGCTCAGTGCGGTGCCCAGCTTTGCTGGAGATGGGCTGAATCAATGCTAAGTCAGGAAGGAAGGGCCAAACTACTTTCAGAATTGGACACATGGTGCCAGTGTTTAAGGCACAATGAGTGGTTGGCTTGTCCTTGACACTGTCAGATGAGAGCACTGGGCTTTCAGCGTGGCAGAAAGATGATGAAATCTGTCTCCAAGCAGCCTCAAAGAGAAGTGAGAATTTAGAGTCCTGCTTAGGGGACTGGGCAGGCCAGGATGTGTCACCAAGGCACTCTGTCTCTGGGCAAGCTCCCAGAATAAACTAAAACGAAACTCCACAAGAGTCCCAACAGCCCATACCACCTACGAAGGGCTCACAGTGAGCCAGGCACTTGCTAAACGCTTTCATGTACATGAACTCGTTTCATCATTCAGGCAATCCTGTTGTCACCTCTCCATTATACAGATGAAGACACTGAGGCTCCGAGTGGACAGGGTAGGGAGATGGAGGAGGCCGACTCTGAGCTCATGTGGACTGGCACCCACTGTGCTGATTGGCAGGGGACTTGGAGGACCCTCCTGGTCTGTTTCTGCAGGTTTGCTCTGCTGAGATGAAAACGACAGCTGCCGTCTGGTGGACAGGGTGGAGGCTGGGAGTGGTTGCTCCTCACAGAAGGAACGAAGCACCTACCTTGGCTTCAAAGAAGTTCTTGGCACCTTTGACACCCTCCAGGGCCACATTGATCTCGGAGAGCTTTGCCAGCGCCATGAGCCCACTGTCCTCCTGCAGCTCCCCTGCCGCGGCCTTGTGGAAAATGAGCAGGAACTACAGGGGAAAGAAAGCAGGGAATCAGAGTCGCTGTCACTGAGAGATTCACAACCAGCCTCTGGCCCAAACCGAAGCCACTCTGCTAATCACTTAAGAAAGGTGTTTATGTGCGCCTGTGGCAAATTATTTTTTCCCTTATGGGATTGTCAGAAATGAAAACGTGCATTTTCCCCAAGGATATAGGGAAATGGGCACCCTCATATTTATTTGAGAGTGTAAACCAATTCAAACTTTTTTTTTTTTTTTGAGGCAGAGTCTAGCTCTGTCACCCAGGCTGGAGTGCAATGGCGTGATCTCGGCTCACTGCAACCTCTGCCTCTGGACTCAAGTGATTCTCATGCCTCAGTCTCCTGAGTAGCTGGGATTACAGGCGCGTGCCACCACACACAGCTAATTTTTATACTTTTAGTAGGGACGGGGTTTCGCCATGTTGGCCAGGCTGGTCTCAAACTCCTGACCTCAAGTGATCTGCCCGCCTTGGCCTCCCAAAGTGCTGGGATTACAGGCATGAGCCACTGCCCCCCGCCCTCAAACTTTTATTTATTTATTTTCTTTTTTATTTATTTATTTTTTTGAGATGGAGTTTCACTCTTGTTGCCCAGGCTGGAGTGCAATGGCGTGATCTCGGCTCACTGCAACCTCTGCCTCCCAGGTTCAAGCAATTCTCCTACCTCAGCCTCCCAAGTAGCTGGGATTACAGGGATGCACCACCATGCCCGGCTGATTTTTTTGTATTTTAGTAGAGACGTGGTTTCTCCATGTTGGTCAGGCTGGTCTCAAACTTCTGACCTCAGGTGATATGCCCACCTTGGCCTCCCAAAGTGCTGGGATTACAGGTGTGAGCCACCGCACCCGGCCTATTTATTTATTTTATTTTATTTATTTATTTATTTTTTAAGACGGAGTCTCGCTCTGTCGCCCAGGCTGGAGTGCAGTGGCGCGATCTGGGCTCACTATAAGCTCCGCCTTCTGGGTTCACGCCATTCTCCTGCTCCAGCCTCCCCAGTAGCTGGGACTATAGGCGCCCACCACCACGCCCGGCTAATTTTTTGTATTTTTACTAGAGACGGGGTTTCACTGTGTTAGCCAGGATGGTCTCGATCTGCTGACCTCGTGATCCGCCCGTCTCGGCCTCCCAAAGTGCTGGGATTACAAGTGTGAGCCACCGAGCCCGGCCGATAATTATTTATTTTCTTGAGACAGGGTCTCACTCTGGAGTGCTGTGGTGTGATCACAGCTCACCCTTGACCTCCTGGGCTCAGGTAGTCCTGTGGCCTCCAGTTCCTGAGTAGCTGGAACCACAGCTATGTGCCACCAGACCTGGCTTTTTTTTTTTTTTTTTTTTTTAATTTGTAGAGACAGGGTCTTCTACGTTGCCCAGGCTGGTCTCAAACTCCTGGAAATGTTTATTGAAAATAAGATGCCTTCCAACCATTAATTCCACTGGTGGGAATTTATCCTTTAGAAATATTCCTACAATGGTTTAAACATTATCTATGAAAGTAAAAAATTAGCAGCATCCTAGTTTACAGTGACAAAAGAAAAATCAAATAAACCTGTATAAACTATTTTTTTAAAAACTAAATAACTTAATATTTCCAATGGTTTTTTAACAACTTGTATTTTTCTAGTGTGTCTCATTTTTGCATTAAATGGTTTACCTTTCTTATCATTTGCTAAAGATCTTCACAGAACCTGGTATGTTTCAAATACTTCAGCTCTGTCACTTGCCTTTTAAGTATGTTTATGCTAATTTTCCACTTTCAAAAATTTTACATATGGTGTTATGCTTAGAAAAACCTTCCTCAGCAGCAAGGTTATATAAACCATCACCTACATTTTTTCCACAACTTTTATGGCTTTTTTTTTTAACCATGTAAATATTTAATCTCTGAAATTTATTTTTATTTATCATGTGAGGTTAATCATTAACCTTATTTTCTTCCAAATGGTTGGTTAGTAATCCTTGTATCATTTGTTAGTAATCCTTGTATCCACCCTTCTCCTCCAGATTCAAAATGTGACCTGAATGAATTAATCTTCAGGCCTCCAAAGAACAAACTTTTAAATAAATAAATTGGCCAAACTGGTTTTTTTTGAGATGGAGTCTCACTCTGTTGCTCAGGCTGGAGTAAAATGGCTCGATCTCAGCTCACTGCTACCTCTGCCTCCCAGGTTCAAGTGATCCTCCCGCCTTAGCCTCCCAAGTAGCTGGGATTACAGGAGCGTGACCATGCCTGGCTAATTTTTGTTTTTTTAGTAGAAGTGGGGTTTCGCCATGTTGACCAAACTGGTCTTGAACTCCTAGCCTCAGGTCTCTCAAAGTGCTGGGATTACAGGCATGAGCCACCATGCCCAGCTATAAATTGGCCAAACTTAAACGGCAGGTTCCCCATCTTCCTGTACTCTCCCAAGGCAATTTTGTGGTTTTTTAAGTTCTCTTCTTTAAATAATTTTAATTGATTTATGCATCAAACAACTGCTATCTAAGTTTCATGATTTATTTTTCCATATGGAAAGAATATAAACTGATATGTTCCAAGCCATCATCAAAAGAGGGTCTCTCCAGGTTTTCAGGTGCTACCTAAAATGTGTGCACCCACAGGAAAATTTCAGGTTTCCAGGTCTTTTTTCATAACCCTCTTCCCTAAAAGAATGCCTTCTTTTAGGCAGGCACAGTGGCTTACGCCTGTAATCCCAGCACTTTGGGAGGCCAAGGCGGGCGGATCACGAGGTCAGGAGCTCGAGACCAGCCTGACCAACATGGTGAAACCCCGTCTCTACTAAAAATACAAAAATGAGCCGGGCATGGTGGCATGCACCTGTAATCTGTTACTCAGGAGCGTGAAGCAGGAGAATTGCTTGAACCCAGGAGGTGGAGGTTGCAGTGAGCCAAGGTCATACCATTGAACTCCAGCCTGGGCTACAGGGCGAGACTCTGTCTCCAAAAAAAAAAAAAAAAAAAGCCTTCTCAAAAGGGCAAAGAACACTTTGTTAAGCAACTTCTACAGGCCTTCCAAACCCTCACTTGAGTATCGTTACTGCCAAGGCTCTCAATCCCCAGAGGGAAGCGTGTTTCATGCGGGTGAGAGTCTCATGCGGGTGAGTCTCAACCGCCGCAACCCTGACACGCCTTGTAAGACACCCTCTTCCTTTTGCTCCCTTCAGGGTCCTAACGCCACCGTGAACATTGTCAAATACAAAGCAAGGGACACAGCAAGATGCCCACGGAGAGGCCGACGGTCAGCCCCATTCATCCACCTGCAGCTTCAAACTCTCTCACTAGAGGCCGGCAGAGACTCAGTTTGCTGCGGATTATCAGAGCCTGAACGCTGATTTGAAAGAAGACAGGCCTCTTGAAGGAGTCCAGGCCCCCCAAGAATAGGTTGGAGGTCAAGGGGATGGGGACACAGGGGTGGGAAAGATCGAACCAGCAGACTTCAGGGCTGTGGATGAGAGGCATGTGGAGAGAGGGAATGACATACCAGTCGCTCCGTGCCCTGCTATCCTTAAAGCATTTCCTTCACAGAAGGCCCCACCACATTTCTCCACGAGGCAAACAGAACAGGCAGCCCCACCAGGCCAGTGCTCTGTGGGGCCCAGACAGGCAGCTGTGAAAAGACGGAGCACTGACTGGGTGTGGTGGCTCACACCTGTAATCTCGGCACTTTGGGAGGCTGAGGTGGGCGGATCACTTGAGGTCCAGAGTTCGAGACCGGCATGACCAACATGGTGAAACTCTATCTCTACTAAAAATACCAAAATTAGCCAGGCGTGGTGGTACACAACTGTAATCCCAGCTACTCGGGAGGCTGAGGCACAAGAATTGCTTCAATCTGAGAGGTGGAGGTTGCAGTGAGCCGAGATCGTGCCACTGCACTCCAGCCTGGGTGACAGAGTGAAACCGTGTCTCAAATAAATAAATAAATAAAATAATAAAATATTTTCTAAAAAAAGAAAAGACGGAGCACCACTCCCAGCCAGCGCCCACCCAGGTGACCTCAGGGACTTTCGCCATCCCCGAGGCTTGGCCTTCTCACATCCAGAGTGGAGATGACAGTTTACGGACGGGTTCCATGAACTGGAAACATGAGGGAAAGCTCTCCTCACGGGTCCCTTCCCAGAGCTGTTTCCTCTGAACCCTCAGGTCTGGGGCAGATCCAGACCACATCGACTCACTGTGCCAGGTCAGCAGGTGACCAGCAGCATCCCCATCACACCTCAGGGGTCCCCCCTATCCCAGCCAGTTAAAGAAGGAAAAAAAACTCAGCTCAAGCTGAAAGCGCCCAGCCTTCCATGAAGCATGCCAGACATTTCCATTTATTTTGTTATAATCACCAACCACCCTAAACGACAATTTATCCAACTGCCCAGCCTTGTTTGTCTTCCTATTTATAGTCCACAAAGCCGGGCATGTGGTAGAAGAATTGGAAACTGTCCTAGCTGTGACTGTGAAGAAAGAGGGGGAGGGAAGGAGAGGTAGAAAACAAAGAGACAGCAAGAGAACTAACAAAGCTAAAAAGCCCTTTCACACGCAAGCTATGGATGCTTCTGATACACGCAGGGAATTTTTAACTTCATGGCTGTGGCTGGTGATGCAAACACTCCCTTGGTATTAGAACTCTTAGGTTGCAAGTGACAGAAATAAACTTGTTCACTTAAGCAAAAAGGAGGTATTCATTATTTAAAACAGATGTCTTGACCAGACACAGTGGCTCACGCCTGTAATCCCAGCACTTTGGGAGGCCAAGGCAGGTGGATCGCCTGAGGTCAGGAGTTCGAGACCAGCCTGGCCAACATGGTGAAACCCTGTCTCTACTAAAAAGAAAAATACAAAATTAGCTGG